TCTGAAAAAAAAGACTTTGTTTCTGCAATAAAATTATTTTATTCAGCAATAACAAAAAGGCCTTCATTATGGGACTAACTAGGGGACGACAGGCCAAAACACAAGCAGGCAGGGCAGGTGTTAATCAATTTTGGTAACATTCCTGGGCATTGAGCAGCCATCCCAATGGACAATGGCTTTCTGTGTGCCATGCTCAAGCCCATTAACAAGTCTTTTGTTGGCAAAGGTTTGCTTCTTCACCTTTTGGCATAGGTGATGGCTTCACAATCATTGGAATTTTGGCAGCATTTGTATAAAGCAGACCCCCAAATTTTGCCAGGGACCTTTTGTGAATCACTTACTGTTGACCATGAGCTGCTTCCTCATGTCTCAGAAAGTGAAGGCCAGCAGTATGGTGGTCATGAAGCAGGAGGCTAATACCTCCAACATGCATGGACCCAACTGGACCCAGGAAGAACTGCAGGACTTAATCAACATTTGGTCAGAGCAAAGCATCATAGACAGGCTGGAAAATAGGAGGAATAAGCCTGTTTATGTTGCCATTGCAAAAGCAATGCAGGCTCGAGGGCACAATTGTAACTGGACCCAGGTCCGGTGCAAGATCAAGGCCCTGAGATCTGCGTTTTACCATGCCAAAGATGTGACTTTCTTTCTGGGGCAGGACATACAATTGCTCCTTTCTATGACCAGCTGTCTGTCATTTTCTCCAAGGACGTGGGTGATACTCTGGGTATGCAGCATTTCGGGACCAGGGTTGAGGAGGAGGAGGAGAGCATGCCAGAGGCAGCTACTCCTGACAGTTGTATTATGAGCGTGTCGGATGAGTACAGAGACTATTCCATGCTCCTTGTGGATGGGCACTGCCAAGAAGAAGAGCAAGTCACCCTACAATTGATCCCAGTGCCAGTGTCCCCCTCAACTCTGAGGAGTAGCACAGATCAGCTGGAGGAGGAGAAGGAACAGCGAGAAATCAATGAGGTCAATGCAGATACTCTTCCCAGAGCTCAATCATCATTTTGTGTTCCCAAGACGCAAGAAGATGCATGAATGATGACTTGTAAGTATCTTGTAATGTGCCTCTTGTTACTTCCAGGCACTAGAGTGCCTGGATTCGTGCAGGTTGTGCTTTGGGGGCTGAGGAGGGGCGGGGATTATATTCATGTGTGGCTGGTGGTGGATTGCCATGCTCTTTTGGGGTAGTGGATGAGGGATATATGCCATTGTTTTGGGTAGTATGAATGGTGGGTTCTCTTTCTATGCCTGCATGCATTTTCTCCACTACAGGGTGGGATGCGTTTTGGGGTGCTGGTATGTAGTTTCCTCCTCTTGGGAGGAAAAAAAAAAAAGAAGGTTTTCTTTATTTGTTTAACAGCTACTGCACCCATGCCCGATGGTGGCCAGGGTTGTTCCGCCCAACTGCAGACCCCAGCTTTCACTGCAGGGATATGCACTGGAAACAGCAATGCTCCTGAGAAACCTGGATGGAGGCTTTGGCAGAGCCAGCACAAGCCAGTGTCATGCAAGGAGGCCTGTCAGGATGAACTCTGTGCGTCCATGTGTTCAGATGATGCCATCTTGAAGGACATGTAAAAAAACATGAAGAAATTGGTAGACATGGCTGCAGAGTCCCAGAGGTCATATGGGGCTTGATATATGATGTCCTGGACCAAATGGTGAAATCCAAGTGTCAAAACAGATTCCAGCTGAATTTCCACTTTAAAAAATGGATACAGAAAGGCAAAAGTAGCTCCCCTTGTTTTGCCTCTGTCCAGGAGGTAGCCAATACAGCTGAGCCTGTTCCCCAAAATGCACTCGAGCCAGGGGAGGGCTGTCACACTGCCACCAAGGCCAGGCAGCCACCACTCAGGTTCAGGAAGCCAGGGCTAGCTCAGGGTGATGGTGGAGTGAAGGCAAGGAAGAACTGTCACAGGCCAGCTGGGCATTGTGAGTGTATCAATTTTATCATAGACCAACTGGGCTGTTTGATTCAGTTTCAGATTGAGGAGGCAAAGTTGGGAGTGAAATAAATGCAAATTTATTATAGCTTACTGTGACAGGAGTGCCTCTTCTGGAGTCATCTATCAGTGACTCCACCCTCCTGTGATGGCCCAACCACCCGCCTTCTCACCTGCCATGCCTTGATCTCAATTAATTAATGGATGTTAATTACCAGGAAGCTGCCCATTTGCTGCCCTGGTGCCAGGGGGTGCTATCTGCAGCTCCGCTTCCTCCCCTACACCGCAGTCCACGTCTGACCGATGGAATAGACATGGGCCTCGTTATAATTTGGCTCTCCCCTTACCCCCTCTCTGGGGCTTCTTGCTGCCCCCCCTGGGGCTTCTCGCTGCCCCCCCCCCCGCTGGGGCTCCCACACTGCTGTGGGTCCCCTATGAGGCCCCCTCCATCCCCTATTAGCAGCACCCAAACCGCTGGTCCAACAGCAATCACAAAACACAAACCCCTGGGCTATAACAAAATCCAAAACATCATTTGGCTAAAACATCCTTCAATTCCTCCGGGGGATACTCCTCCCCTTAGCAGCCTCATGAGCTGGTCAAGCAGTCTGTCCTCTCCCCTTCGCTTGTCTGGCAGAGTTCCCTTTCCCCTTGGCTGCCAGCAGGGAACTGCCCTCCTGGCCTCAGGCCTGAGATTTTATGTGGGAGCCAGGCCCTGCCCCTTCCGGTCATCTGACCAGGCGGGAGTGCACCCAATTCCCTCCTTAACTGGTTGTCCCAGCAACCGGCACCTGGGTTCCTGCCTCTACTCTGAGAGTAGCAGGCACCTTAGTGTCCTGCTACACTTACACACACACAACAGTTAACAGAAAGATAAATTCGATAAGCAGATAATGCAGTATTAAAGAGCTAATAGTAAATAATAACAACAGATAGATAGATAGATAGATAGATAGATAGATAGATAGATAGATAGATAGATAGATAGATAGATAGATAGATAGATAGATAGATAGATAGATAGATAGATAGATAGATAGATAGATAGATAGATAGATAGATAGATAGATAGATAGATAGATAGATAGATAGATAGATAGATAGATAGATAGATAGATAGATAGATAGATAGATAGATAGATAGATAGATAGATAGATAGATCAATTCTGTTGCAGGCCAACTGGGCACTACGAGGGTATTAGCCACTGGGCTGTTCAAAACAACAGATAGACAGACATGTGTTGGCAACTTATCGATAGTCCCTCAATGCCAGGTGCGCACCAAGTGATTCCAGAGAAGTCAGGCATCCCCATTCGACGTTGTCAGAGGGATTACCAGGGAAGGTCCCTTGATCAGGATCCAATCCTCACTCATACCGGGAGTCTGGGGTCTGGGTGTGGAACAAAAATGACCATTCTGTTCCCTCCTTCCTGCTGGTTACATGATGCACGTGCTTTTTATACCTAATCTTATGTTAATCTGTTAGCCTCAGGGCCACTCACAATGTTGCCCTATAGCTGTTACCCTATGGGATTGAAAGGTGTTAAAATTATCATAAAAGGTTACTGCCCAGGCTCAGGTTTATCCAATAAGCGAATTATGATGCAGCACCTTTAGGTTTGAAATTGACATTGCTTCGCCTAAGTTCCAACCCTTTCTAGGCTTCATTTGAATATGCTTTCTTGGGATATGTTTTCTTGGAATATGTTGGGTGTGCCAGGCAGTTAGATCCAGTTTTTACCACAAAGGCTGAACCCTGAGCAAAAAACCATTAGGCCAGCTAATCTCACAGCCACAGCTTTGCCTATGGGGCCCAGTCAGTTCCATGAAGAGTTAATTTATCATTTTGGTTAAACTTATGATAGACAAGTTACATTTGCAGTTTACAAACTTAAAAGCTTATATTAACTAATATTACCCGTTTAGGCAAAATACCAAATGCTTCCAAGAAGCACATATTTATTGCTTATTAATCCCTCTGGTTATGGCTGTCACAGACCAAGTAACCGAATGCTTACAATACTGTGTTCATCAAAATAAAAAATCATGTTATCATGTTCCCATAAAGTGTAAGTTGTGTCTCACCCCTCACAAGGCATGTATACACACTCTGAACAGGCTTTGGCCCAAGCATCCCTGTTGCACCCTAGGCTGTAGCTTCTCCCTCCCTTCCTGTTGCCCCAGGGCTGGGGCCAAAATATGACCCTGCTTCTGGCAGGGGAAAATTCCCAGCCTGTCTATGCCCACATACACACATGCATGCATGCATGTAAGCATGTGCACACACACGCACACACACACACAATTACACTACTACATGCTTGATAGTAGTAATAGTGATCAATATTGATCAATATTAATTAAGCAAAAATGTCTATGCTGTTTCAGCTGTATTATGATTTCCCAATCAAAATAGATAGCATTTCAATTCATTGTGAAAAAATAAGGAGCAGAAAAAAAAATGCTGATTTGTATTTGCTCCTGCTTGATTGATTGGGCAGGTGATGGTGTTTTGGTTGATTGATTGGGGAGGGTGTTTTGGAGGTGGGTGATGGGAAAAATAAAAGCCAACCATTACACAGAAGAGTTGCCCTCATTCAAGCTCCCTAAATGCATGCCTGGCCAAGTATTGCTGCTTGTTGCTTTTTCTTGTCTGTCTGGTTCTGGGGTGGATGTGCAGAGGGAGTGGTGGACAATGAGATGACTATTGCTTACAAAAAAGGTGATCCTGGATTTGGGATTGCAGGTAAAGAAAGCATTGGAGGACCTCCCATCTTTTCAGTAATGCCATGACTCTATAAATGCCCCACCTTATAAATAATTGTTAACAGCAAATGGTTCATGTGACCTCCTGTCTTTTGTGAAACTATCTTGCGTACATGCAAAGGATTCCCAGGCTGAGAAGGGCAGTCGCAGCCAGCACTGCTCCCAACCAATCAACCCCACCCACTCCCAAAACCCAGTCTGCCTATGTATGTATGTATAAAAGAAAAAACAACTGACACAATTTCAAATTTCTGAACTTTATAACCCTAGCAAAAAAAGGTGGCTTCTTGATAGTATCAATATTGAAAATATTCTATCTCTGATGTCCATAGTGTTCTGCAGGGAGAGGAAGAAAAAAGAAGAGGGGTTTGAACTAACAAAAGTCGAAATACAAGCCACCCACCCGCAGAACCCCTGTCATCCAAGGTTATTGGGACATTTATTACTGATACATCACCAGGGATACTTCGTAGTCTGGGGGAATGGTCTGGCAGGCAGCATCCACCTTGACTAATTGTCACGTTTCTGGAATGGGAATTATAAGAAATAGGAAGGTTTGAAATATTGAAGAATTAAGGGTTAGGTAGGTACCAAACTCTAGAAAGTTGGAAACTTACCATTCTGCTGATGCCACTGTGCTGAGCAGTGCTGAACACCATGACGGTGGGTTGCAGTGGGTGTGGGGAGCGGATACTGGAATGGAAATGGGAATTATAAGAAATAGGAAGGTTTGAAATACTGAAGGGTTAAGGGCTGCCACATGTTGTTGCAAATTTACTATCCTGGAGATGCCACTGTGCTCTGCGCTGAACATCATGCTGGTCACAGTGCCAGCAGGCAGGGGGTGCTGGGGCTGGATGGAACATGAGTACAATGGGGGACAGCCCATACACTACCACTGGTGGTGGTAGGACCAAAACAACTGAATGTCCCATAATAGGTTGCTCCGCCATTACCTTCAATACCTGGCTCCCTGTGGTCAGCTATGGTGTGGAAGCAGGGGGAGGGATGTAGGGAGGGAGGGATGGGCAGAAAAAACTCTGTTTGAAGATATTCCTGGTTCTGGGGGGGCACCCCCTGGGGACCATGCATTAAAATACAAGAAAGATTTGCTAATCGCCTTTTTGATCACATGTTAAGGGTCCACGCATGCCTTCTTGTCTGCTTGCTGCTGTGGTGGGGGGGAGGGAGGATGCTTGCTTCACCCGCAGGCTTGCCAGGATCACCGTATACTGGGATGAGGGGGCAGGGAGAGAAACAAGCATTTGACGTCCAATAACAGCCAACCCTGCAACTCTTTCCAGTAATGCCATGACTCTATAAACAGCCCCTTTATGGTACTTTAAGTAAAGGTACTTAAATTAAATAATAGATAATAATTAATGTAAGGAAAATTATATATAAATAATAATATTAAATATTAAAGCTATCTATCTATACAAAATATCGCTATCTATAAAACTATCACTATCTATACAAACTATCTGTAACCCTAGCCATGGTGCTACCTATGGCCATGTCCAGATTCATAGTCCTGGGGTGTCAAATAGCCTTGGTCAACCTCCCCCTAAGGCTGGGGCCACCTCTCCATGGAGTGCTTTCTTGTGGTTTCCCCACACACTGGAGTACATAAAGTATAACTATTTACACAGTTTATTGTTTACAAAACAGTCAACACATGAATGAGGTTAATAGCAGAACAGGATATCAGAGCAGCCTGATTGGCTGCTGGGCTGGCACGGGGAATTCAAACCACGGCCATTAAAAGCCATGGTTTGATCAAGCCTCTGGCAGTTGGGGCTTGAGTCTGGAGTGGGTGCACATGTGCCTCTAGTACATGTGTGCCCCCTGTACTTACCAGCGGCAGCAGGGGCAGAGGCAGCGGAGGCGAATCTTTTAAAAGTAAGTGGGGCAGGGAAGCCAGCACAGAGGATCCAGAGGGGGAGCCCCCTGGATTCCTCTTAACTGAGCCAGCAGGGAGCCATGCTCCTGAGCCACGTGTGAACAGAGTGAGCAACCAGGCATGCTCTGTAAGGGTGCGTCGGCATTTGAACAAGGCGGACATGCAGCAGGAGCCAGGAAGGAGTCTCCAGCAAGAGACAGAGAAAGACTCACAGCTCCATGGACATGGTAAGAACATGGGGAGCAGCTGCTAGGGACCATGCCCCAGTGGTAAGGACATGGAGGGTGGCTGCTGGAGGCCCTGCCCCACTGGTGCCACCTACCCTGGGCTCCTCTGAGGCCTCCACCCAGATGGAGCCCATGGTGGAGTCGGCGGCCCCCTGCCTCCCTGTCTGTGGGGGCTGCCTGGTGGGGACCTGGAGGCTGTGGGTGAGGGAGGGGTCTGGAGGCTCCCTTGCCAGTCCCTATTCTGCCCAACTTCAGGCCCTGGAGGAGCAGGTGAGGGAACTTCAGGCTGAGGTGAGCAGGCTATGGGGGATCAGGGCTGTGGAGGACGAAACTGACACGTATTTCCATTCTCTGCAGGATCAGTCTTCCAGGAGACAGACCTCCTGGGAAGGATGCACAGTAGAGAAATGGCAGAAGGTGACCACCAGAACCAGGGCTGCTTGGGCTAGCATGGTGGCAGCTTCCCAGGTACAACTGGGGAACAAATTCAAGGCCTTGGTAGCCTTGGAGGAGAAGGTCAAAGTGGATGCCTCTGCAGGGGACGGTGCCACTCTATGTATGGCATGGTCTGAGCAAAGATGGAACACCACGAGGAAGAAACGCTGAGTCCTTGTCATTGGAGACTCCATCCTGAGGGGAACAGAGGGTCCCATCTGCTGACCTGACCCCATGGCACGTGAGGTCTGCTGCCAGCCTGGGGCTCAGATTCAGGATGTTACAGGCATGATCCCAGACCTCATTCAACCCTTGGACCAGTACCCCATGGTCCTAATCCACGTGGGAACCAATGACGTGGTGGGGAGCAATCCAGACCACATCATGAAGGACTATGAGGCCCTGGGAGCCAAGGTCAAGGAGATGGGGGCACAGGTGGTATTCTCCTCTAGTCTCCCAGTAAGTAGATGTGGACAGCACCATGAGGCCTGCATTGGAGTGGTAAACCAGCAGCTTCAGAGTTGGTGCTACCAGGCAGGCCTTGGGTTCCTTGACAATGTCCTGCATTTTCGTGCAGGGGGCATGCTCAGGTGGGATGGGCTTCACCTCTCCCCTAAAGACAAGCGTGTCTTCTCTTCCAGGTTGGCTGATCTCATACGACATGCTTTAAACTATCTTTGCCAGGGGATGGGGCCACAAGGGGATACAAGGACACTTCCCAGCCAAGACAGGTGATGAGCACAAGAAATACCCAGGTATGTGACAGGGGTCAGGATAGTCCTGGGATCGGGGGGGGGGGGCGGTGCATGCACCCATAGGAGGCCTTAAATGCCTCTACACAAATGCTTGTAGTATGGGGAACAAGCAGGAAGAACTTGCCTTCCTGCTAGCTAACACAAATCCCAACATAGTGTGGCTCACTGAAACGTGTTGTGATTCAACCCATGATTGGGTGGTAAACATCAGGGGCTACAGACTGTTCAAGTGGGATAGAACAGGGAGGAAAGGTGGGGGTGTGGCGCTCTACATCAAAGAGCAATACATGTCCTCAACAAACAGCACTGGGTCAGAGGAGGGGAAGAGTGAAGTGATCTGGGTTAGAATACAAGGGGGTCAGGGGGAAGGGACTTAATGGTAGATGTCTACTATCAACCCAGGGGGAAGAGCTGGACCAGGAATTCTCAGATCAGCTTGCAAAGGCAGTTAAGTCAAGGGACGTGGTCATCATGGGTGACCTAAACTATCCAGACATCTGCTGGAAGGAGCAGTCAGCAAGGTCTGACCACTCATGTAGGTTCCAAGCTGAGATACAGGACCTCCATCTAAGCCAGGAGGTGCACAGTCCCACCAGGGGAAATGCCTTGCTGGACCTGGTCCTGGCCATAGGTGACAACCTGGTGAGGGGACTGCGGGTTCTCAACCACCTGGGTGATAGCGATCATCACCAACTGGAATTCACCATCTAGCACAGGGTGTCAAAGTCCTGCAGCAAGGCAGCAGCTCCTCACTAAAGAGGATTAAACCTCCATTGCTCGAGACTGTAGGGGGGTTGTTAGGAAGGCTAAGGTGGAGACACAACTAAGACTAGTGACCAGGATCAAAGATAACAAGAAGTCTTTTTTAAATACTAAGGGAGTAAAAAGAAGGTACCGGGTAATGGGGGGCCCCTGCAGGACAGGCTTGGCAATCTGGTGGTTGCACCAGATGGTAAAGCTGACCTCTTTAACAATTTCTTTGCCTCCATTTTTCTGAGCAGGGATGGGACATCCCCCCCACCAGGATTCTGGATGGACTCAGGAGACGCACACTCAGGACTAGGGTCAGAGAGGACCTAGTTAGGGAAATTAAGTAGGGGCTGGACATGTTCAAATCAGCAGGTCCAGATGATCTCCACCCCAGGGTGCTGAGGGAATTGGCAGAGGTCATTGCGGGACCCCTGGCACGGCTTTATGAGCACTCATGGTGCTCTGGCCAGGTGCCAGAGGACTGGAAAAGGGCCAATGTGGTCCCCATTTTCAAGAAGGGAAGGAAGGAGGACCCGGAAAACTATAGGCCCGTTAGTCTTACCTTGGTCCTAGGGAAGCTCTTTAAGAAAATTATCCAGGAGCACATCTGCAAGGGACCAGCAGGGGAGATTATGCCTTCGACACTGTCTCTCACCCCATTCTCATTAAAAAATTAGGCGACTGCGGCATCGATACCTGCACAGTCAGATGGGTCACAAATTGGCTGGAGGACTGCACCCAGAGAGTGGTGGTGGACGGGTCATTTTCAACCTGGAGGAATGTGGGCAGTGGGGTCCCCCAGGGCTCGGTCCTCAGGCCTGTACTGTTCAACATCTTTATCAGTGACTTGGACAAGGGGGTGAAAAGCACCCTGTTCAAATTTGCGGATGACACTAAGATGTGGGAGAGGTGGGCATGCTAGAAAGGAGGGACAGGCTACAACTAGATCTGGACAGGTTACAGGGGTGGGCGGATGAGAATAGGATGGGATTCAATACTGACAAGTGCAGGGTACTGCACCTAGGGAGAAAGAACCAGCAGCATACATATAGGCTGGGGAACTCCCTTCTTGTCAGCAGAGAGGCAGAAAGGGATCTTGGAGTCATTATTGATTCCAAGATGAACATGGGACACCAATGTGAGGATGCAGTCAGTAAGGCTAACTGCACCTAGTCATGCATCCACAGATGCATCATGAGCAGGTCCAAGGAGGTGATCCTTCCCCTCTATGTGAAATTGGTCAGGCCACAGTTGGAGTACTGTGTCCAGTTCTGGGCCCTGCATTTCAGGAGGGATGTGGACAACATTGAGAGGGTCCAGAGGAGGGCCCCTCACATGGTCAGGGGGCAGCATGGCAGGTCCTATGAGGGGAGGCTATGGGACCTGAATCTGTTCAGCCTCCACAAGAGAAGGCTGAGAGGGGGATCTCGTGGCCATCTACAAACTTACCAGGGGGGACCAGTGGGGAACAGGAGAGTCCCTGTTCCCCAAGCACTACCAGGAATAACTAGGAATAACGGCCACAAGTTAACTGAGAGTAGGTTCAGGCTAAACATCAGGAAACACTACTTCACAGTCAGGGCGGCTAGGATCTGGAACCAACTTCCAAGGCAAGTGGTGCTCACTCCTACCCATGGGGTCTTCAAAAGGAGGCTAGATAATCACCTAGTCGCAGTTGCTTGACCCCAGTACTCTTTCCTGCCCATAGCAGGAGGTCGGACTTGATGATCTGCTCAGGTCCCTTTCAACTCTACCAACTATGAAATTATAATCTAATTGTCAAAGGAAGGTATCAATGAACTAAAACACTCTGTATAAATAGAATCCAGGACACCCTCAGTGTAACTCCCCAGCTTAAACCTTGAGACTCTAGTGAGCAGCAGCACATGAGGTTAACACAAACATCAGCTCTCCTTCACACTGGCAGCACAACCACCATGGCTGCTGTTGCCGCTTCAGAAAGTCCTGCTCTCTGCTAGAGCCTCATGGGGAAGAGAAATTCTCTGCTCCAGCTGTCTGTGGTATCTGCAAAGAAACACATACTGTCCCCGCTCCTCAAAAGCACCTTTCTCCAATTCCCTTGCACTGATAACTGAAACAACCCTGGGTTTATCACCCACCCGGCCCCAGGCTGGTTCTCAGTTAACTCTCCCCAGAGCCTTCTCAAATCAACACCTTGCCCTCCTAGGCAAGTCTACTTTACCACCCTTCTTCCTCCACCTGGGTCCCTCTGCCTCAGAGGGAAAAAGGATACCAGGTTGTCTTCTCCCCATCACTAAGGGCAGGTTCACTTCTCAGGCAGTCTGCAGGGTGGTTCCTTCCCAAGCTCTATGGTCCTGGGTCCCAGGTCCCTTCCCTTCTCTGAGCCTGGCTGAGTCCCCTGGGCTGAGTTCCCTCTCCTCTCCTGCCTCAGGAGCCAATCAAAAACATGCATATGCTCTTGCAAACAACAACTTTCTGTAAACTTTTCTGATCTGCCTTTGCAGGGATTCTGAGCCTTGCTGCAAATCCAGCAGCAGCTGTTACATATCTATACAAAACCTAAACATTATCTGTACACTTTGCTCTTTGTTCTTCCTTTTTCTCCCCTTCATTGATTGGAGGGCATGCTGCATTGTTCAGAGAGAGAGGGGGAAGAAAGGAGACATGAAATCGGGGGGGCAGGAGGATATGTTAAATGGCACATCTGACAGGCAGCATCCACCTAGATGATCCTCCGTGGTTCTGGAATAGGGATGTTTGAAACAGGAAGGTTTGAAAAGAGAAATGTTCAAGGGAGTCTTACGGTAAGGGTAGCAGTGCTGAGCAGCTATGAACCCTGTGTGCGTGTAGCAGGTGTAGGGTGTGGGCAGTGGGTACATGGGGAGCACGCACATTACAGGCAGCAGCAAAAAAAATACCAAGGGGTAATAAGCTACCACTTGTTCCACACCACTGAGGGTTTGCTCTTGCTCCGCCATTTTCCTACTCATGTATATTTAAAATAATAAAAGTATTGCAGTTTGAAAGCATTTTGAAAGCCATGCCTCACTCAAACCCACATCTGGTCAGCTGAGCAGTGGGAGGGAGGGGTTAAGGATAACACATAACATAAATTCACAGCACCACCTACTGGCTAAAGAAAAAGTATAGCACCACCTATTGGTGAAGGAAAGCAATTACAAGTCTTTGAGATGCTCAGTGTGTGCACAACACGATGGGGTATGCTAAGCCAGGGCTCAGGGAAATAAAACCTCTCGAAGCAGGGTTAGCTAAAAGCACCAAGGAGACTTTTAAAGCCCTGGGAAATTCCGATTGTGCAAACACAAACACAATGGGAAGCTGCATGTTGTCTACAAACGCCCATAAATATCAGGACCAGATCATACAAATCTGGAGCCTGCTCTAAAGGCTGGCAAGACTCAAGACTCAGTTTCTGACCACATTCTACATCAGTTAGCCTTCATTAAATCAAATGGGGAAGATTTCTAGGTACATAGTAAGGCTGCAATTAAAAATATATCCAAATCACACTGATCCATCTTCCTGGGAGTCTTAAATTATCTCCACAGAGCTCTCAATCAGTCTAGAAAAAGCCTATGTCCCCCATGATGCTGGCTTTAGAGCAGAAATGATAACCATTCCCCTGTCATTTCAACTGGTCTGTTGTGAAATGGGGCCCTCTAAGCAGCTGCAGATTTGGCAGCACCATCTGAGCCAGCCTTGACAGCCAACTATGATATATCATAGTGAACTGATGGGAGAGTTTTTACCTCATATTTAGATCTTAGCCAAGGATGAACTGTCAATAGAGATGAGAAATTTACATATAAATACCATTTTTCACCTTGATGAATAATAAGGGCTCTTCAAATTATGGGCGTACTTAGTAGCTGTGTTCGTCTGAGACAAAAAGACATACAAAAAACTAGAACATTTTTCTTCCACCTGGATGATGGTGTGGTAAGAGAATTAATCACATCTAAAAAGGTATATGCCACATTAGTAAAGCAACAATGTAAGTGACTAAGTATTAGTCACTCAACAATACCATATATAATTATGTTTAAATCACATCTTTCTGCTTGTTTGTTTATGATCTTCTAATAGTGCTTATGACTCTGGCATGCAGCATCATGATAACAATGTACAAAAGAACAAGTCTGAAATACTTAGTGGTTACTGAAACTAATGAGCATAACTATTTTTTTTCAATAAATAATTATCCTACATAAAATACATAGTGTGGATAGCCTAACAGTAATTTATACCCTACATTCTTTAAACAATGCATGATCTATGATATCATATATGTCAGCCTGTCCACTTGAACCATGGAATTAAATAATTCTGTGGAAACAGGGAATTAATCTAGTATTTGGCTAAAATAGTAAACATCAAGGAAAAAGATAAAAAGAAAGTACTTAACTTTTTTTTTTTATATATCTAACTGATAATATCCAAGAGAGAAATGTTACATTATTAAATTGTGGGTATGAGAGAGAGAGAGAGAGAGAGAGGAATATTGACTAAAATAATCATTACCTTGAGAAAGGAATTTGATTAATTACCATGAAAGCAATTAAACTAAATTGTCTAAATTATTTTACATTTCTGATTTGAGAGTTAATGTTTGATTAAACTGTCATGGAATTGATCATATGAGGTTTGATTGATATTTAACAGCAAGCTATGTTAAAGGATCCATAGGTTCTATGCAATAAAAAACCATAGTGCCAGAACAGAGAATTAGAGCTGATTAGCGTGAATTGAATTTATTATGCATTATTAAGGCTTCTTGATAAAATCATGACTATTTCATTTTAAATTCATACAGCTAATCATACAACACAGCGGTGATAACTTTAAGAAGGTGACCAACTGACAAAATTAATTTGCAAGGTACTACTGAATACAAATTTTGAAATAGGGTCCATTCACTCATTTTGAATTGCTAAGTATGCAAAACTAAAATGTTTGACCTCTGGGAGTTTCCATCAGAGCTCCCTTAAAGCCATCCAATTTTCTCAGAGCAGACTATGTACTAATCATAACACCAGCTCACAGGATATCACAGAATGGTGCCAATGACATCAAGGGTAGCCGGACAGTGGCAAAAAAGAAGACTGCCTGTAGCTAGTGGCAGTTTGCATTACATGAGGAACTGTTGAATCCATGAAAGGCACTCTGGGTTCACTTTAGCATGCAGTGGGATGCTAGGTCTGAGGTGATCTGAGAAGGAAGGAATCTACATGCTCTTGCAGCCACAGCCAATTTTAGGTGGCTGGTGGTAGAAGGGCTCAAACATCCATACCATTCCTCTTCAGGTAGTTTCACCAGGCAGCAGGGGAAAGGAGACAACTAGCTATATGCATATCAGGAGGGGGACAACTAGCTATGCATATCAGATTGCTGAAAATGCTGCCTAGATTAAAGGAGTGAAAAGGGGGTTGGACACATGACCCATGGGTAAGCATGTGTAATGACCTGTTACTCAAAAACTAGAAAGGCCTATATAATCACAGGTGCAATGTGAGTTTTATTACTTCAACAGTGGTCTGGTTTGGGGAAGCCAGTTACCTAACTTCACTGATACTAGAGGCCAAGGATCTGGTCATAATAAGTGCCAATTTACACAAAAATTCATTATTAAACTGAATGCAATGAGACTGGTTAGAGCTCTGTATGCCACTGCTATCCATGCTTTCTGAGAATTTCAAATACGGATTTAAAAAAAAAAAAGAGTAACTTGGAGAAGCTTCATAGGTAGCAGTAACTGACAGATTTGAATTTGAGGAATTTGGGTCACAGACAATCTGTATCTGCACCTATGAACATGATGAAATCTTGAACCCAACTGTGAGGTACCTCAATATAAATAATAATAATTACCCTGTTTGAACATTAAATTCCATTAGAAAAGAAACCACGAACAACCATTTAAATGGTACGCCTGAGCTAGCAAGATGTTTTCTGAGCCTTTTTGACCTTATTAAATGTTTCATGATTCCCCCAGCCATTTCCACTGAAATTTTTACCATCTTCACTTTCACCTTCAATTAGATTGGTCTAACCAAAAGACAGATTAAAACAGCTCTTCTTCTAGCAGCATTAAACAATTCTTAACTACCACTCCAGATAAAAGAAGTGCTTTGTCTGGTTATTGAAATAATCACCAGAAAGCATGCTGGAGCCTTCTGTCAGACTTTTGGCCCTCCTTTTTGTTCCGCTTTGAGTCAGGAAGGTAGAATGCTCATTTTGAATGTCTTATGCCATGTGTAGACGAAACAAGGAGCATGTGCACACAACACTTTAAAGCGGGTTAGATGCTTTTGCACCACTTTAATGGTGTTAGTGTTTGCACTTGTCAGTGGTGTATTAAGCAGTAATTCCAGCCGCTGTGGCAAATCCAGTGGCGTAATGCACTTTGAATGACTTGGGGCAAAGCAAACTAAAACTCTGAAGAGGAAGAGTTTTAGTTTGCTAACCTACAGCCATGGAGTGAAGCACCAGGCTCTGTGCAGCTCAGGGGCTCTGCAGGAAGCCCATGCAGGCAGCCTGGCAGCAGCCCAGGAAAGCAGGCTCTGCCCAAGAAAGAAAGAAGTGGCAATATATATATATTTTTTTTTTCCTGGAGCCTGCCTGCCTGCCTGAGCTGCACGGGGGCCTAGTGCTTTCCTCCACGGCTGCAGTGCCCCCTAGGACCGCCCGAGCCAGGTGCCTGCGGGCAGGTGCTGCCTGGGAAGGAGGCTGCTGCTGCAGAGGGAAGCACCAGTCCTCCCCGCAGCTCAAGGACTGCCGCTCTACCCACTGGCAGCTTGTCCTCCCCTCCCTGCCACCAGAGATGCAGCTAAGTGCACGGGTGTGTGCACAACACGGGGGTTTACTTGGCCCTAAATTGAAGCTGTTTTTAAAAACCCACTGCTGCAATTTAGGGCTCCGGTTTTGTCCACACACACCCTTAGCAACCACCTCTAACAAAACTTCCCGTGCTAAAGGATGAGACTTCTTTATTCCTCATTATGAATCATCAACCTATTTACTTCAGTTTTTCTTCCTCGGTGTTTAACTGCTGGCACATAAACCTTATTAAATGTAAGAGGTGAACAGACACAAGGAGTGTATGGCTGGGTACCTGCTTTCCCAAGCCACTTAGCAGCCCAGAGGTTGATTCATGTTTAGCTTTCTTCATTCCTTAGGCACTTCCAGATTGCAGCACAGACAGCATTCCCTTCTTTTATTTAGCTTCTAATGAACAGCAAATATGTTCATGTCAAGAGACAGTGTTATTCTTTACTACAAAATGTGGTGACCTCTCTCATCCTTTTAAACAATAGTGTGCTTTCCTGAAGCATGCCACAAAA